GCTATCTGCTTACAATGTGTGCACTTTTCTGTATGTGTAGCTTTCTTTAAAGAAGGCACTTTTACATAAAAACACACAGATATACAAAGGTAGTCAAAATCCTTGTCATAAGAAATTTAGAAACTGACATGTATATAATCTAAGGGAGAAAACTGAGGGTTCTTACCATATCTATTTGAGTAACCAAATTTTCAACTAAATAGCTAACTTCTTGGATGTTTATAAATGGAAGACATTTATAACAGTCATTCACCCTATTATCTTCCCGTGATTCCAATCATGTATTCAGAGATATCTAGTGTTCCTGTTGGGAGTAACTGATACTGCTATTATAACAGAGCTTTTAAAATAGTCTCAGGACTGAAAATTTGCCCTTATATGTAGGAAACTAAAATGGTACAGAAGATAAGGCAGTATACAAAATATATGCTTGCTGTTTTCGTTCTTGCTCCCAAATGCATAAGGTTTAGTTGGTTAATCATGAATGTATATTATTTAATAGCAATTCCTTGAAAACTTTCATTTTAATTTTTCAGTGAAATTTTAGAAAATATAATTTACTCTTTAATATCAATGCCATACAAATTAAATAAAGCCTCATGACAATCTGATAATAAACTATACATCTCATATCTATCACTTAAATATTTCCCTTGTTTCTATGCTAGAATCAATATATGATTTATAATACTTTTTTCTAATATTGAAAAGATGCTTTAAGAGATAAGCTAGGAAAGATCATCCAAAGATTATTTTAGTTCATTGTTTCATTTGTATAACAAGTATTTATTTATTCACTGCTTACTATCTGCCAGCCTCTAGGGAAAATAGAATACAAAATAGCTAAGTTTACAATAAATATAACAGGCTTACCCCTTTCTTTTAGTCTCATTTGATTTACAAATAAAACTATTTTCAACCACTAACATATTAACATATTCAAAAGTTAAAATGAATTTAAAAGATATATAGTAAAAGTCCTATTTTCCTTGTTTTCTTCTTAATCCCCACAAAGATTTAGATTTTGTATACATCTCCAGATTTCTTAATGTAAAAATAAGCAAATATGAATATATGGTTTTACTCCCCTCCCAATTTACACACAAAAATGGTTTAGTATACATTATGTTTTGAATTCTGCTTTTTCCAAATAACAACAGTATGTGAAAAACTTTCCAAATTTGCATATAGAAAAAATTCTCTTTTTTTTAACAGCTGTAGAGTATTTCATTGTATAGTTATGTCTTAGTTCTTTCAACCAACACCTTACCAATAGACACCAATGGATTTCCAATCTTTTGCTACCACACAAAAAGCTACAATGAAAACTCCTGTACATGTTATTTAGTAAGTATACACAAGAATTTCTGTAATAAATTCCCAAAACTGGTACTGAGATGAGGTAAATGCATTGGTCTTTTTCTAGAAATTAACAATTTGTATTTCACAGGAGTTGAATCGTTTTGCACTTCCACAACATATACATCTCAGATTTATCCTGAAAAAAGTCTCTTCAGGCCTCTAAAATACTTTGTTCATGAGGCAATTTCAAAAGATATGCTCACTGCAATAAATTCCATAAAGCTCTTGGTTAATTTTTTCCCAGATGCAAATGTAAAATTTGTTGACTTAGTAAATTTAAAAGCAAATAAATTTTCAAATTTAAAAACAAACCTCACATCAACTCAGTAAATCAGCATATTAATGCCTAAATGTGCTGGGATAGCAACTATTTGTCTTTCCAATACTTCCTGTGTTCTAAAAACAAATATATTCCCTACTCCAGTTTTTGAAAAACTTCACATTCAGTACTTTATAAATGGATAAGAAGTCAAACGCATTTTACTTCTAAATGAATGTTTTCCTAAAACACTTAAATGTTTTCATGAAGTCAAATCTATGTTACTTGTATTATATTTTTAAGCCATAATTTCAAAAGTGATCTAATCTTTACGATCACCATTTTTAATAGGCAGTATCATCTAATGTGTTTTTATTTCAATGTCTATCCTATCAAATATTTAATAATTAGAAAACAAACACTTAAGTCCACTGAACTTCCTATCTGATATCATCCTTAAGTAAATCAGTTTCAATAGCCCACTGTTTTGCTAGAAAACATGTAAATGATCATTTTTATTCCCCAAATAAAGATAGGCAACCTATGTTGCATATTTATCAGACAGAAATCAGCCAGACAGAAATCAGTCTGAGATCTCAATATCCTGTAAAAACAAAGTGGCTAAACTAGTTGCTGATACTAAAATGAATTTTAAAATGCTAGCACAAATTCTCTGCTCTTATAGTCAGCAGATGTGACAGAGCCATACTTAAGCTCTGACATAAGTAATACATAATGTTAGGCAAATGCGTTGATTTTAAATATGAGTCAAACAGAATGCACTGACAACAAAAAGAATTACCTAAGAAATGTAAAATAAAACCAATGAGAAAACACATCACAGTGGCTCTAAGAACATAAAAGCTTATCAGGCTAGGATAATTTAGAAGAAAACAGTCCAACATAGCATACAATACTGAGGAAATCACTTTATTTTAATTCTATAAAATGACTGATGTTCACAATAACTCAGAGCCATTAAAAAAATTTAAAATGTATTCTGTTTAAGAAAACAATGATGTTCATTTTTCTAACGAATGCTCAAAGTAAAATGTCTCAGTTAAAATCAGAATATACAGTGGTTGGTCCTTAAAAGATGAACTGTGATAATGTAAAATAACATTATGGGGGCTTTAGGCAGCAACTTTTTTTCCCCGTTTTTTTTTTTTTTTTTTTTTTAATGATTTTTCCTTGGCACAGACATGCAACCTTCTACACTAAGTCAGTTTTTTAGTCAACAGTCAAAAGAATATCTGATTTTTTCTGCAAGTTATGTAGGTAAATTTTCACTCAAGAAAATGTCCTGATTTCATTTTACTTTAAGTTGTAACTGCCAAAGTAGATATGTTAGTCTGGTTTCCTAGCTTCAATTTTCTACATGAGCGTGTTCAAGTGACTCTATCTCTCTAGTCCTCCTTAGTTTCTTCATCAGAAAAGTGAAGGAGTTATAGAAGGCATAACATGTTACTAAATAGAATGAGTGTGCTAACAAAGTGAAACAAACAGATGACTGCATTAGGTCCTGTATCTACATCAATGCTGTAACTAGATCTATCTGTATGTACTCTATATTTAAACTATCTCAAACTACTATATGTCATTTTACTATATATATAAGGCCTACAATAAAAGAAATGATAATCATTTTAGAATCTTCCCTAACATTTAATATTGTTACTGTCAGGATATAACAAATTTTTCATGTAGTCATCTTAACTCACTTAAAATATCACTATAATCAATACCCTGTGATACTGAATTAAATATTTTCTAGCCAAAATAAATTACTCACCTGACAGATTAAAAATACAAAAACACATGATATGTAACCAGGATATTTTTTAAAAAGCATTCTCAGCAATGTCATCAAATACTAAAATCAACACAATGATCTACTAACAGTAGAATGGATGAATAAATTCGGGCACATTTAATTCAAAGGGATAGTATAGAGTAACGAAAATGAATGAAGTAAAACTACAAATAACTATATGGATAACTCTTCAAAACATAATGCTGAGTAAAGGAAGAAAGAATATACAATTCCATAAAAAAGAGGCAAAAAAGTAAATATATTGCTTGGGAATACATGTAAAGTGACAAAATTATATTGAAAGTTGTATAAATAATTACCATAAATGTCATGATACTAGTTACCTCTAAAGAAAAAAAAGAGTATATCAAGGGTTTCTGGGATGCCAGTAAAACTCTGTGGTTACATAGATGTTTGCTATATGTTTAATTTATAATTATTCATTGTTATACCCTTACATTACTGTATCACTACATTTTATAACAAAAAGTTATAATTATATACTTTCTAAAATAACGTTAATATATTTTTATAAAAAAGGAAGGACTTCTTTCTGCTATCAACAATTTCCTTGCTCTACATTTCTAATTTTTATTGCAATATTTTAATAATAAAGAAATCAGTTACTATGCCTAATTCTTCACAATCCTAATTAAAAGTAGATTTCAGAGGCTTACTCAATGGCTACAAAAAAATACCAGGCCTTTAAATAATATAAGATCAGTTATCCTGCTACATCTTGGCTTAGCAGCTCCATGTTGTTTCTGTCACTCTTCCTTCTTTTCAAGAAAATGTATGCTTATTTAAAAAAAAAATTCCAAATGATAATGCAGGTAATAATTTGAGGCATGCTGCATTCCAAAAAATACAATAGTTCTAAGGTAGGAAGAAACACACTTTTAATTTTCACACATTTAAAAATAATTCTGGGAGCACCTGTGTATGCACACAACATGAAGGTCCATGACTGGTAGGTCACAGACTCTACAGATGAAATCCACACTGTGAGTACTAGAAAACATGATAGCTGGATTACAGCATAGATATACAATGTCTAATGTAAATTACACTGGGGCAATCTTTATATTTTCTTTGGAAAAACAAAAGTAAAGGGAATGGAAATTACTACGGAAGAGATAATAATAGTAAATTAATCTACATTACCAAAAAACCACACGATTTACAAAATCCTCAAAGTCCACCACCTAGAAGCATCCTTCAATGTGTACAGTTACTACAACTTTTAGATACTGCTCAACAGGATGCAGACAATGAAATTTTGAAACAAGACTATCAGTACTTTCATCAGGCTCCAGGTAACAATATGATGGCAATGGTATAGCACCTTTATAATAATATTGCTTTTGTTGAATACTATTGGTTTTTGTGAATGCAGCCAAGGATCCCCTTCCTTAGTGGGTCCAACAAACTAGTTATTTGCCCATCTATTAAATGCCAACTTTACAAAATTACATTGTGTCCAGCAGGGAGCAGTATTACAACAGTCATAAGTGTTAAGTTGAACATGAAACCGACAGACAAAAAAGGAGGGAAAAGCTCACTTACCGTAAATCTGTTCTATAATTCATTCAATTTTTAGGGAAGTCGCAGGGCTTCCAGAAAAAAAAAAAAAAAATGAAGCACGTCTCAAAGCATACGTGGGTGATCCATGATTTCAGGAATCCTAAAGCAGGAAATCAAAATTATATTAGGTAAAAGCTTTTTTCAACCATATTGAATTGAATTAGCATATACTATGACTGAACAATAATTGCAAAGGTGCATCTTCCCCTTAATGGGTCAATGAGATCTTGAATTCAGGAATTTGATCACACTTTGGAAAAAATAACTTAAAAAAAGGGTATTAATGTCCTTTATCCACCAGAGAATTTAGGTCAAAGAAGAAAGTAATAGCTAATAGATTATATGATATCAACCTAGAAAGAACTATGGTCCAAGAGTTAAATGAGCTGACAAAGCAACCATCAACAGTTCATTAAACTCTTCTAAAGTGAGATATAGACAGGATACAAACATTAACTTCTACAGGTTACCATGAATAACTGAGGTTAATTTTAAAGGAAAAAAAGGAGTAGAAAAGCAGATTGCAATGCTGGTGATATAAGACTAATTAGATATGCACTGAATATGAGGAATGTGGTGATACTGTAAAAAAACCTCATGACCAGTTATATGACAAAAGCAAAACAATATTTTTGATACTGACTTGGATGTCAAAACCTGCCTCACTGTCAACTATAAAAATTTTAGGTCAGTTCTTATGACTGAGAAAAAAAATTTATTTTCATTTGAAATGTTAAAGTTTGCTTTTAGTGGGTTTGCATGTGACCTTTCAGTGTCTACCAGGAAAAGCAAATTTTTGCCTTTAAAACAAGATAATATGTGCATATTCACTATTAAATATATATAATTACATATACAATATCACATATCAATATGTTATTAATATATAAATAATATAACATTTACTTGAAATTTAACGAATATGTAAAATGGTTCCTATTTTCTGGCAAAATGACACAAGCAGTTTGACTTGGGCGAATGATACAAGAAATATGATTACACTCTAATAATTACAATTAATTTGACTGAAGCTGAAAGAAACTCTGATATATTAATCTACTAGTCTTTAGCAGTCAACTATTAATTGTATTACTTACCATCTTTTGCTCTCCTTAGTCTTCTTATCCTATCTCTTGCCTTTGCCTTTACACATTTCACTTTTCTGATAACTCCTCATTTCTGCTAATCTATCCTCCTTCTCTTTTGTAATGCATTTCTGTATTAATCCAAATGTTTAATTCAATCTCCTCTCTTTATGACCCTACCACTTCTTTTCTTTTATCCCAGTACCTTTAAAAATGAGTTTTCTCCTATAACAATAGTCTGTTTAAATATATCCTTTCATTCACCTACAAGCACCATGCTTGATCTTAACAATCTTAAAACTCTCACATAATTGGAAGACACAAGTAAATATACTTAAATTATGTGTTATTCATAACAATTTTCCTCTGAGTTATTTAATTAAAGAACTTGCTTTAAATTCTATCTTGAAACATGAAAATTTCAAGGAAATTTAATCTCACACACCCGTTATAAAAAACTGGAGACAACCACTTTCTAATAAAGAGTTAATTTAGGTAACTTAGGATCTTACTACATTGATGTGAATAAATATTGAGTAATCAACTTCTCTAAATCAATAGAATTTTAGTGTAATTTATTCATATGTGTGTACATGTAATGTGCAATATCCACATGAAAAAGCCAAAGTACATTAAATAACCCCCTACTTCTAATATATATTATAAAGTCTAAGAAGAAAAGTGATCTTCCCGTTCAGCACTCTCTAATACAGGTATAAGTATTAACATTAAAGGTATTAATATGCTGTAAAATAATGTCATAATTACTTACAAGACTTGAAATTTTTAGAATTTGTACATAGATTATATAATATCATTTATAATATAATTACCTAAAAAGAGACTATAGTAAGTTGAGAAATGTTCACCCTTCCTGCCTCCCCTACCGAAATTCATGTTCACCTGGAACCTCAGAATATGATCTTATTTGGAAAAATAAACATGGCACTGCTGACACCTGACTTCGTGTTTTTGACCTCCAAAATTGTGAGAAAATTAATCTCTGTATGTTAAGCCAACAAGATTTTGTTCATTTGTTATGGTAATTTTAGAGAACTCACATAGATTTTCATACTAAAAAATGGAGTGCTGCTGCAATAGATACCTAAAAATAGAAAAAGCCTAGATTGCCTTGAAGACATTTTTGGTAGAAAAAGAAATCTTAAGAGAATTCTGCTGAGGGCTCAGAAGGAAAAGAGGTAAAGAAAGCTTCTATTACCTTAAAGAATACATATATTATCGTGAACAGAATGTTGGTAGAAACAGGAACATTAAAGGTTTCTGATGAAGTCTCAAGAAGGAAATGAAGAACATTATACTGGAAAGAAAAAGCAGTCCTCATTGTAAAGTGGCAGAAAACTTGACTGAAATGTGTTCTTCTATATGGCGAAAATTAGAACTTGGTAAGCAATTAACTTGAATATGCAGCTGAGGAGATTTCCAAGCAAAGTGTTAAAGTGTACACTGTTTTCTCCTAGCTGCTTACAGTAAAATGTGAGAAAAAAGAAATAAACTGAGGAAGAAATTGTTAAGCAAAGAAAAGTCTATGATTTGGAAAATTCTTAACCTATCTAAATTGTAAAAGATGATAAAGCATGCTCTGGAGAAGGACCAAGGACGTGGCTGAAAATCCTTTTCTGAAGAGATTAGGTGTGTGACTAACAGGTCCAATCAATCTTTTCAGCAGAGGATAGGAACAGAAATGAGGTTATCCAGAAAGGATCTTTGAAGAATTCTCTTATAATGGTAGAGATCCTCTAAACATACATGGGAGACCCACATTAAATATTTAGTAAACCATGCTATAAACAGATGTGCTGTCACCCAGACTTTGTTGTTCTGTCTATAGAGAACAGGCAGAGTAGATTTAGTGTAATTCTTAAGGGCCTTGGGATTTTCATAATGGTAAATGAGCGCTGGCTTCAACTTAAAGTCACCAGTTTCCATTATCCTCTTAGGAGAGTGAGCCTGTCCTGTAAAGCTTCAAAGCTAGGCATTGACTTCTCTCCAGCTATGAAAAGTTCTAGATAGATCTTCTTCTAACAGAAGGCTGTTTCATCTACACTGAAAATTTGTTATTTCATGTACCCACCTATATCAACTATCTTGACTAGATATAGATAACTTGCTACAGCTCACCATACACTTTTATGTTATGGTCTCTTACCTTAAACCTCATTAATACAACCTCTGCTATCTTCCAAATGTTCTTCTGCAGCTTCCTCACCTCTCAGCCTTCACAGAATTGAAAAGAAACAGGATCTTACTCTTGATTGGGCTTTGACTTGAAGGAATGTTGTGGCTGATTTGAACTATCCAGACAACTAAAACTTTCTCCATATCAGCAATAAGATTGTTTCTCTTTCTTATCATTCATTAGTTCATGAATTTTTCCACTGCATTCATAGCTTAACTGTTTGCAAGAGGCCTACCTCATGGCTTGTCTCAGCTTTCAACAGGCCTTCCTCAGTAAGCTTAATTGTTTTCTAGCTTTTTATTTAAGGTGACAAATATGCAATGCTTTCTTTCACTTGAACACTTAAAGACCACTGTATGGTTAATTATCCTAATTTCAATATTACTATGTCTCAGTAACACAATGAAGTGAATAGGAAGTAAATAGGGAGGCCAGGGAAGGACAGATGGGAGAATAGCTGGTTGATAGAACAGTCAACATGCACACATTTATTAGGTTAACCATCTTATGAGGGCACAGTTTCTGGTACTCAAAATAATTACAATAACAACATCAAATACCCTGATCACAGATAACCATTGCAGATATAATAATGATGAAAAAGTTTGAAATATTGAAATATTGCAAGAATTATCAAAATGTGACACAGACACACAAAGTGAGCATGCATGGTTGGAAAAATAGGACCAACAGACTTGTTCATTTCAGGGTTGTCACAAATCTTCAATCTGTAAAAAATGTAATATCTTCAAAATTTGATAAAGTGAAACACAAGTGAGATCATGCATGCCTGTAGTTTTTCTATAAAAAATATTAAGGGACCCTGGAAAGCCAAAATAATTGTATTACTCTGTTCTCACACTGCTGTAAAGAAATACCCAAGACTGGGTAATCGATAAAGAAAAGAGGTTTAATTGACTCACAGTTCTGCAGGAATGGGGAAGCCTCAGGAAACTTACAATCATGGTAGAAGGAGAAGCAAACATGTCCTTCTTCACATGGTGACAAGAAGGAGAAGTGCCAAGCAAAGAGGGGAAAGCCCCTTATAAAACTATCAGATCTCATGAGAACTCACTCACTATAATGAGAACAGTATGGGGGTAACCACCCCCATGATTCAATTACCTCCTACCAGTTCCCTCACCTAATATGTGGGGATTATGGACACTACAATTTAAGATGACATTTGGGTGGGGGAATAGTCAAACCACATCATTTCACCCCTAACCCCACCAAAATTTCATGTCCTCACATTTCAAAACACAATCATGCCTTTCTAATAGTTCCCTTGAATGTTAGCTCACTCTAGAATTAACCCAAAAGTCCAAGTCCAAAGTCTCATCTGAGACAAAGCAAGTCCCTTCCACCTATAAGCCTATAAAATCAAAAGCAAGTTAGTTACTTCCTAGATACAAGAAGGGTACAAGCATTGGGTAAATACATCCATTCCAAATGGGAGAAATTGGCAAAAAAAAAAGGAGGCTATGGGACCCATGCAAGTCCAAAATCCAATAGGGAAGCCTTTAAACCTTAACGTTCCAAAAGGATCTCCTCTGACTTCACATCTTACATCCAGGTCACACTGATGCAAGAGGTGGGTTTCCAAGGCCTTGGGCAACTCTGCCTCTATGGCTTTGCATGCTACAGCCCCCTCCTGCCTGCTTTCATGGGCTGGCTTTGAGTGTCTGCAGCTTTTTCATGTGCACGGCGCAAGCTGTCAGTGGATCTACCATTCTGGGATGTGGAAGACCAAGGCCCTCTTCTCACAGCTCCACTAGGCAGTGCCCCAGTGGGGAGTATTTGGGGGCTTCAACTCCA